ATGACAGTGGGGGTCAGAGAGAGAGAGAAGAAAAAAAGAAGAAGAACACCAGCGGGCGGCCGATCGCCGGGCGGGCCGGGGCACGGCGGGTGGCGGTGGACGCACGCCAAGCTCGAAGAGGCCCGACAGAACCGTCGGGCTCAGGGTCGACTGCTCGTCCATCTCCGACACCAGGGGCTTGATGACGTCCTGGGCGAAGCGCCGAGTCGAGTCGCGGATCATCTGCTCGGACTCGGTCAGGTGGAAGAGCGACAGGGGCTCCTGCACGCTGTCCGGCGCGACGAGGTTCAGGTTGGCCCAGGCCGAGGTGCCGAGGGCACGGCTGGCGGCCGGGCGGCCGGCAGCGCGCACGGCGGCGGCGGCAATGCTGGTGGCGGAGCGGGAGAGCATGGTGGCGGAAGGGCGACAAGGGGGTGGGGGGGGAGGGGGGGCGAGGGAGAGGGCGTGTGGAAGGGCCAGGTGACTGTGGAGGGTCCGGAGCGGCGCGGCAGCCACCGGGGGTGCCCTTCACCCGAGCGCCGGCCCCCCCCCCCCCCCCCCTGGGGGAGGCTGACCAGCGTATCCTCCCCGCTGGCTAAGGGGGGATGCGGTGACTGGGAGTCGTCGCGGCATCGCCTCATGCCCCCCAGCTGCGCGGGTCATCCCCTCGGGTTAGCCGAGCCGGGGACCGGAAAAGCCCCGCGCAGGGGGCGGCCCGGCGGGCGCTATCCCCCGATGGGGGCTCTGTCGTCTGCCCTGGGCCACCTGCCGTCGGGACACGCCCGCCCGCCCGCCGGCCGGCCGCCCGCCCGCCCACACACACACACACACACGCACATACGCACACACGGAACAAGGGGGTGTCCCTTTCACACCGCCCGGGGCATCTGTGTGGTGCGAGTGTGTGTGCCCCGGGTGTGTCAGTCGGCCGGCTGGGCCGGGCGGGTTCTGGAGTGTGGCACGTGAGGGGGTATCACGGTTCCATGGGATCGCCTCGTGCAGGCGCGCCCGCGATCCGACAGCACAAGGCCCCGGCCGGCCGGCGGGCACAGCCGGGTGTAACTGAATGGGGCACAATTAAGGCCTCGGACGTCCGGGCCGGGGGGCGCGTCGATGCGTCAAATGTCGGGCCGGGGGGAATTCCGTGCGGGAGGCGCCGCATTGTGGGCCGGACAGCGAGCAGATTGTGGGCAACCCTGGCGACGCGAGAACCAGGCGCCCAGCCCCCCTCTCCTGGCGAGGGCCTCCCCCGCGCCCGGTCTTCCTACACGTCTGTGGGACCGCAAGCCAGGCGCCCTGGCTGGGGTCGCAGGACAAGGCCAGGAGCGCGGCCCGCCCCGAGTAGTGTCGCGGGTTCTTGGGTGTCAACGGGGGCGCAACTCCCAAAGGGCGCTGGCCCCCGACGTGCACCCGGGGGGGGGGGGATGTGTGTCGGCTGTGTCTTGCGGATCTTGCCTCCCTCCCCCCGGTCCCGGGCGAAACGTCCCTTGATGGGCGGGCTGCCTGGTGGAACGTGGGCCAGGCCACACGGCAGACACACCACGCTAGGGAACCTGCCGGTTGCCTCCGTTCTTTCTCTCTCGCTCTCTCTCTCTCTCTCTGTCCGCCCCTCGCCTCCTCTGTCTGAGCTTCCTCTTGCCCAGCGCCGTAAACAAGCACACGCACAAGCACACGCACAAGCACACACACACACACACACACACACACACACACACACACACACACACACACACACGCAGACAGCCCCCCGCCCAAAGCCATGACCGTGAGCAAGACGGCCGAGGCGCACACGCCGGGCACCCAACTGCCGGAGGTGGTCCGCGCACCGGTCCCCAATGGGAGCCGGGTGCGCGCCAATGACCAGGCCCTGCGCCTGCAGACCGAGGCCCTGTCGGCCATGCTCAAGGTGTCCCCCTCGTATGGGACCGACCCGCGGGAGGACATGCACGCGGCCCGGCGCCGGGGGCGCTTCCGCAGCGCCGACCTCACCCTCTACATGGATGGCATGCGGGCGGAGCTTTGGCGCCGGAGCCGGCCGCCGATGGCCGGGCACTTGGGCACGGTGGCGCGGCCGCTGACCGGGGTGCCCTTCGACCCGGCCGCGGCGCTGGGCCCGGAGACCGGGATGCTGGCCCGGGTGGCGCCCAGCGGCCCGGCCGACGCCGGCGACCTGGAGGCCGGGTCGCGCTTCCTGGCGGACCTGCTGCCGGCCAGCGAGCATCGCCGGCGCCTGCGCCGGGTGGTCATGGCCGACCCGCTGATCCGGGCCTTCCTCAAGTCGCGCTTTCGGCTCGAGCACCTGGCCGAGGCCGGGCTGCCGGGCGGCCGCCGGGACATGGTGGACTTGCACTTCCTCATCCAGCGCCGGCTGATGAGCGTCGTCCGGGCATATGGCTTCTGCACGCTGGAGGATGCGTCGTATGCGCGGCTGCTGCTGGGCAGCTCCTCCTCGGTGCAGATGCACATGCTGCTGTTCTTGGAGACGTGCGGCTTGCTGTGCGCGCCGGCCGAGCGCGAGCGCCTCCTGGCCGGGCTCCGGGCCGACGACGAGCAGGAGCGCGCTCGCCTGGCGGCCGAGTACCGGCTGCTGGCTGCCGTGGCCGGGACCCGGCACACCGCCTCGCTGCCGGCCGGGCCCGGGCCCGGGGCCCGCAGCCCGGCCCTCCCCGGGGCCGCCACGCTGGGCGAACTGCGCGAGGCGCAGACCTCCATGGGGGGCCTGCTGCGGGCCCTGCGCAAGGCCGGCATGCCGCGGGTGGCCGGGGCCCTGGCCCAGACGGAGCTCGGCCATGGGACCGCCGTCCGGGGGATGGAGACCACGGCCATCTTCGACCGGCAGTCCGGCGAGTTCATTCTCCACACGCCGACCGCCACGGCGACCAAGTGGTGGCCTGGGTGCGTGGGCCCGGGGCCGTGTGTGTGCCGAGAGTCCCTGTCGCCGGCTTGGGCCTGTTCTTGCGGTGTCGGGGCATTTCGCCGCGATCGCGGGGGGGCAGGGGGGGGGGGAGGGGGGACTGTTGCCGGCCGGGGGCCCGGGCGCGGGCACGCGTCCCGGCCCGGCGCACTGGGCCGCGCGCGCGCATGCGCGGAAACTCACACACACACACGCACACGCACACGCACACACGCCCATTGCATGCGCGGGGCCACGCCCCTGGCAGTGGGCTCGGGAGCACGGCCACGCACTGTATCCTGGTGGCGCGGCTGTTTGCCCCGGGGGCGGAGGCCCCGCCGGCCGGGGCCGACCGGCGCCTGCCGGACGTCGGCCTGGTCGACCGCGGCCCGCAGCTGTTCCTGGTGCACTTCCGGGACCCGGTCACCCGGCGCCCGTTGCCGGGGTTCCGCGTGGGCGATCTGGGCCCGAAGGCCGGCCTCAATGACACGGACAACGGGTATATGGCGCTAGGTGCGCGACCGCGGGGGGCGGCGGGGCCGGCGCCGCGCAGAGCGGGCGAGGGACAGGGGCGGCTACCTGCGCTCGGCCTTCTGCTGCGTTGGCCTTTCTTTTCTCTCCACCCCCGCCCGCCGTGGCTGCCCTTCGCGCGGCCACCTGCCCCCAGGGTGCTGACCATGCCGGCGCGTGGGCAGACAATGTGCGCGTGCCGCACGGGGCGCTTCTGCCGACCAGCGGCCAGGTGGACCCGAGCACCGGGGCCTTTGGCCGGCGTGGCAACAGCGCCCGGCTGGAGGCGCTGGCCATGACCCTGGCCCGGTCGGGGCTGATTGCCCTGAGCACCTTCCACCTGTCGAAGGCGGTCACCATTGCGGTGCGGTTTTCCACCGGTGCGTCAACCCCCGGGCCCGGGGGCCGCTGGGCCAGGCGGCCATGGGGCCGCGAGGCCAGCCGCGAGGGCGCCACTTTCCCTGCCCATCTTTGTGTCGTCTTTTGCGCCGGCAGAGCGCCGCACGCCCGGCCGGCGGGAGGGCCGCCGTCGCAATGTGTCCCGGACGATGACTGACCCTTCAAGTGCGGGCCCACATGTGCATGTGCATGCGCGGCTACAACTATTTACCCGGGCCTGGGGGGGGGGGGGGGGCGTGCCAGTCCGCCGGCAGACGGCCCATGGCCCCGGACGCCGGGAGAACGCCATCGCGGACTACCCGCTGCAGCGGCAGGTCCTGGCCGAGACGATGGCCACCGCCTATGCCCTTTTCATGGGGTCGGTCGAGTCGCGCCTGATGGCCGAGCAGTGGGTGGGCCAGCAGTTTGGCGGCCGCCCGGGCATGGAGCCGGGGCCCGGTGCGGATGGCGATCCCGAACAGCAGACCGTGCGCCTGGGGCACCTGGTCCATGTGAACTCGTGCCTGCTGAAGTCGGCCGGCACTCGGCTGGCCCTGGAGGGGGTGCGCGTGTGTCAGCGGCACTGCGGCGGCCACGGCTTCGCCGACTACAGCGGCCTGACGCGCCTCAGCCAGGAGGCCAGCGCGGCGCTTGTCTTCGAGGTGCGCCACCACGGCGATGGGCGGGGGCAGGCATCCGGCGATCAGCGGCGGGGGAGGAGGGAGGGGGGGGGGCATGTGCTTGCATGGGGGCCCCTTCTCGGCGCCAACGTGTGTGTGTGTGTGTGTATGTGTGTTTGTGTGCCTTTTGTTGCTCTTGCGCCCTCCGATGCTCTCGCGGTCGTGCCGATGTCCAGGCGACAGGGTGTGTGTGTGTGGGGGGGGGGGGTCCTCGCGCATGCGGCCGATCCACTGCCCGCCCCGGCGTGCCCCGCGATCGCCGGCGCATAGCCAGGCAGGCCGACGACTGATGCCGGTGTGCCCGCCTCGCACGCGCCGTCCAGGGTGATAATGTGGTCCTCGATTTGCAGGCGGCGCGCTTCCTGGTGCAGGAGGTTGGCCGCGTTGCCCAGGGCGGCCGGTCGGTGGTGGACTACCTGCACATCGATGCCCGAAGCCTGCGGCAGACCCTGGCCGAGGCCGACGAGGGGCGCATGTTTGCCCGGCTGCCGGCGCCCGGGGCCCCGGTCACCGAGGCGGCCTTGCGGGCGGACGTCAAGCGCGGCAAGCACCAGGTGGCCGCCATGGGCTGGATGTGTCACCGGCAGACGCTGCGCCTGGCGCACGTGGTCCGTGACCACCTCCTGGCCGGCATGGGTTGTACGTGTGCCGGGCGCTCCGCGATGTGCATTGTGCATTTCCTTTCTCCCCTTCTTCCTGCCTCTCTTTCTCTCTCTCTTTCTGGCCTTCGCCGGCCCTCTGTCGCCCTTCCGATGCCACCGCCGGCCACCACCGTGCGCGCTGTGATTGACCAAGGGGAAATGCGCCGACCGGCACTTGAACCAGTCTCCGAGGCCCTATCCAAGGCCGGGATCTTCGGGGTGGCCGCCGCCCGCGGCCACGCCAACTACCTCCTGCTGGGCACCATGCAGCGGGCCATCGAGGCGCTGCTGGAGCGCTACGCCGCACTCGGGGTCCCGGCGGTCGACACCGGCAAGGAGGCGTCCCTGTGGGTGATGGCACAGCGGCTGTGCCGGCTGCGTGACATCTTCTACTGCCACTGGCCGCAGCATGACCGGGCCCCGGCCGCGCAGCTGGACAGCCGGGACCTTGGCGAGTCGGCCGCCTGGACAGAGGCCCTGCAGGTTGAGAATACCCTGGCCTGGGGGGCGCTGCTGGCCGAGGCGCCGATTGCCCTGGCGACCCTGGCCGAGGATGTGGCCCCGGATTTGCTGACCCTGGCCGATGCCTGGGACTACTCGGATGAGGAGCTGGGCAGCTGCATTGGCCGGTGCGCGGATGCCCACGGGCCGGGGGCCCGGTCGGTTTGGGCCTTTTTTTTTTCCTGGCAATACCCGGGGCGAGGGGGGAGCGGCCACGGTCCGAGGGACGGTCGAGAGGGGGGGGGGGACAAAAAACAACGCATGAGTCTGTCTGAGGACTGACCGGGTGTGGGCGGGTGACCCCTTCGATGGTGTGCCAGATTCGACGGGGACATCTACCGGGCGATGCACTATTTCGCCACCGGCACGGTGGCCGGCAGGACAAAGCTCTAAGGTGAGGGGCCGGCCGCGCTGAAAGGCCCGAGCAGAGCGAGCCCAGAGGGGAGCCGAAATACACGCTCAAGGAATGGACGCCCCCAGGGCGCGTGCGCAGCAGGGGGTGTTTTATTTTTTTCGGTCAACAGTAGGGCACGTCCGAGGGGGGCTGCCCCGGGGCGGGAGGGGGGAGGGGGGAGGGGGGGGGAGAGGGGCGCCCTGCTCAGTTGCCGAGGCCGAGGGACTTTGACCCGGAGTAGGTGAACTTCCGACCGGCTTCGTATTGGTCCTCGAGGTCGCGGAGAATGTCGGCCTGGTGGGCGGCGCTGCGGCGCGAGCCGCCGCCCCCCTCGGCGGCCTTCTTGGCGGCCGCATCACCGGCGCCCATGAGTTTGAGGAACTTGGCGGTGCGCTCGCCGGTGCCCAGGTGCGCGGAGTTCCAGGCATTCTTCTGATCGGAGGGCAAATGCGGGGGAGGAGACGGTGGTAAGTGTGCGAGGCGGGACATGCTCGGATGGGCACCCGCGCAGACCAATGGAGATGGAGGGGGGGGGGGGAGCAAGCGGAAGAGAGGAAGAGGGCGCGAGCGGACACGCGACGTACGGGGGTGGCGGGGCTGCTGGCGGCGGCGGCGGCGCTGGCGGCACCGGCGGCGGGCTTGCGGTTGGCCCACAGGAGCTTGCGCTTCTCGGCGGCCGACATGCCGACGAGCATGCTCCGGTCGAGGGCCGGGGCCGGGGCCGGAGCCGGGGCCGGGGCCGGGGCCGGGGTGGAGTCCTCATCGGAGCGCTTGCGCTTCTTGGGCTCTTCCTCCTTCGTGGCCTTCTTGTCCTTCTTGGCGTCGGACTTCTTGTCCTTCTTGTCGTGGGACTTCTCCTTGTCATCGGACTTCTTCTTGTCCTTCTTGGCGTCGGACTTCTCCTTGTCGGACTTCTTGTCCTTCTTATCGGACTTCTTGTCCTTCTTGTCATCGGACTTCTTCTTGTCATCGGACTTCTTCTTGTCCTTCTTGCTGGAACTCTTGGACTCGGACGCCCTCGCTTCTAGGGCCACCGCCTCGGAATCACGCAGCGCCCGACGCGAGGACTTGCTTTCATCCGCAGCCATGACGTCCTTGGCCTTCTCGGCCCGCTTGGACGAGCGGTCGCGCGACTTCCGGTCGGCTTTCGCCGGCGATGAGGAGGTGTCCTTGGCCATGGTAATCGGCAGGAGAAGGGGGATGGAGAGAGGGAGAGAGAGAGAGAGAGAGAAACAAACAGGGGCGGAAGGGGGGCGACAAACCGGCGAAGCGAGGGGGACCCTATGACCGGAAGGGAGAGGGGGAGGTGGAGGCGGGTGCCTGGGAGCCCCGCCGGCCCGGCGGCGTGCATCCCGACATACGTCGTCCCGAGGGAGGAAACGAGCAAAAGCGAGCGGCAGGCACCACGCCCAATCGGCAGGCTCCCTGGCGGTGTGGTGATGGCCCCGCCCTGGCGCACCCCGAGTGGAGATCTCCCGGCCGATTGGAAAAGCCGCCCGGCTGTCGGCCAGGGGCATGGCACGTGGCGCTGAGTGCCAACGATCGGCCCATCGGGGGCGGAGAAAAGCCACCCGGCTGCATATGTGTGTGTGTGCGCGCGCGCACCGGTGGCCAAGAGTACCCCCCCCCCCCCCCCCCCCCCCCCCCCCCCCCCCCCCCCCCCCCCCCCCCCCCCCCCCCCCCCCCCCCCCCCCCCCCCCCTCACACACTCCTCCCCATCCCCCCCTCATACACACGCACACACTGCAGTTCCCTTTCGCCGACCCCGTCCCCCTCCGCGCTTCCATCTCCCCCTGCCTCCTGTCCTCCCTTCGCCAAGTTTCCCAGTATGTCGAATAAGCTCATCCAGCAGGCTTTGGCCCTGAGGCAGCTGCAGATCGGCGGCGCCAGCCCTGCTCCCAGCAGTGCTCGGAAGAACAGTACGTTCTGGGGGGGTGTTTTTTTTGGGGGGGCGGTCTCTTCCGGGTGCTTTTTTCTGCAGGGGAGAGAGCTTGCCTTGGCATCGCGCCAAATCGCCCCGCATCACTGACCGCCGCTGGGGCTGAATTCGGCTGCTTCTGTCTCGGTGCCCCCCCCCCCCCC